CAAGGTTCCTTCTGGTCTCTTCACAGCCGTCTGTCTGGGACGTCCAGACCCCCATCATCCGTCGGGACCAGGAAGTGTTCGACCACCTGCAGGTCATGGAGCGGACGACGCCGACGTCGGACGACGCTGACGACCACTGTCTGATACATCAGCGCCACCTGCTGTTCATCACCGACTCTGTGGAAATCCAGTTCCTGGACTCGGTTCCTCAGTCTGGCACTCCCAAGAACTGCATACTGGCTGCCCTCTAGCACCCCCAGCAGGACAGTGATGTGACTGCATCCAGCAGGAGTTCTTTTTTCAGTGAAGTTGGTTTGAATCTGATTGGTTTTGGGTTTGAAGACGAGCTCTTCACGTCAGGTCGGACTCTGTGGAACCGCACAGACCAATCAAAACCAAACGATGGATCTGACGCAGTTTCCTCCGACGAGGACAAATCTTCATCACTGAACGCTGAGTTTCCTGTGAGGACGACGGACGACTCCACGTCCAACTCCACGTCCAACTCCACGTCCAACTCCACGTCCAACTCCACGTCCCTCAGCTTGTTCTTCAGCCCAGAGTGCGGTTGGTTCAGGACGGGTGTCCTGGAGGATCGGACCGAGCTGGACATCAGGTCCAACGAAGACCACCACGGTCAGCAGGGTGACCTTCAGGACGTGACCGTGGCGCTGGTGGTCTACCAGAGACGACCCTGATTGTTGATCCGTCTCCTCGGTGCTGGTCTGATGGGTTCCCCTGACCTTGACGACCTTTAGCTTCTCTAACCCTCCTTCAAAGCCCAGTTCACAGGTGAAACAAACGATGGTTAAAACGCAGCTCCTTTGATGTACATCAACTTTATTTTGATTCTGGAATGTGAGAAGATGAAGATGATGAAGAAGAAGAAGAAGAAGAAGAAGAAGGACCAAACCCACCAACGCCGTCGACCTCAAAGGTCACAGCTGTAACAGTGTTTGAACAAAAACACAGACGACCACGACGACGACCAACAGAACCAACACCAACCTCTGCTGTGATTGGTTCAACAGTGAGGACACCACACCAACAATGTACGGCTTTTGTCGTACACTTTTTTTTAACACTGCCCAAACATGCTAACATGCTAACATGCTAACATCTAAAGCTAACGTACGCGTAGCTCACAGTCCCAGTGAATGGGTTTTCACACCTAAACAGGAAGTCTTTCACACTGACCTCACATCCTGTTTCTGAAAAGGTAAAAATGTCAATTCTACAAACTGCAATAAAAACAAACAAACAAACAAACAAACAAAGTAACTTCCAGCTCCCGTTCTTCACGTGATCAGTTCTGTAACCAGTCCAGTACCAGAGCGCTGACCCGGGGTCAGGGTTTCTGACCTCTGTGTTGACAGAGGGACTTTTTCAAATCATTTTTTAAACCGATGAATTAATAAGATGCAAAATAAAATAAAAAGTTTCTAATTTGAGGCATTTTTCAGCAACTTTGAAGTTGATTTGTTTCCCTTCATCATGATTCCATCACAAACACATTCAAGTTTTCAACACTTTTAAAGTCGTCAGCAGCAGCAGCAGCAGCAGCAGCAGCAGCAGCAGCAGCAGCAGCCTCCACCCTGGAAGTGTAACAAAGAGAGAAGAAGAAGAAGACCACCTCTTCTTCTTCTTCCTCCTCCTCCTCCTCCTCCTCCTCCTCCGTCTCCTCTTAGCTTCTTAAAAATAATACTTTAGTTTTACTACAAAACTCAAACATGACCTGGACCGGATCAGACCGGATCAGACCGGATCAGACCGGACCGGACCGACTTGGTCAGTGCGTCCACAGCAACAAACACGACTGATGTGAGGCAGTGCAGTGAGGCGGCCCTGGAGGCTCCGCCCCCTCAGTAGCCCAGGTCCAGTTGGATCTTGTGCTCAAACACAGCGATGACCAGCATGATGCAGAAGCCCAGCAGGATGCCGGCGTTCTGCAGCAGGAAGTAGCCCCAGTGGCTAACGCCGTGGTCGCCCGCGTCGTTGTGTAGCATCTCCGGCACCTGCATCAACAACGGTAAGAAACGGTGAGGTCACGTGACGTGAAGACAGCCGCGGTACGACGGTTCGTACAGCGACCTGTCAATCATCAATGTAAATGTCTTACATCACTTTAGTTTAGTTTAGTTTAGTTTAGTTAGCGAGTCACCAACCACAAACTTACTTCAGCTAACGAAAAGAAATGGATTTGTTTACAACTACTTTTTGGGTAAATCAGACAACGGCCACTAGATGGCAGGACTGTACAGCCCAGAGCCTCCGCTGTGATTCGCTCATGTGTGGACATGGAGACAGAACCGAACTACAGGGACCACAATCTGTCCACCAGCCAGAGGTTTGGACCTCAGTGTGTGGTGGAAATGAAAGTATTTCATTGGAGAAGAGGAGGCGCTGACTCACCATGTCCACCAGGGCCACGTACATGAAGAGCCCTGCAGTGAGGGCAAATATCCACATGGAGATGTTGGCTGCGTAGTGTCCAATCAGGATTCCCGTGATCATGCCCAGGTAGGCCATCATGGCCGACAGGACGTTGTAGAGGATGGCCTGACGCACCGTCATCCCAGCCTTCAGGAGAACCGCAAAGTCACCTGGGAAGGACCACGCGGTCGGTGTTGGTCAGTGGTTCAAACGGTAACAAGTTTAGAAAATGTTGGGGTTTTTTTATTTACCTAATTCATGAGGAAGTTCATGGCAGAAGACGGCCACGGAGGTGCTGAGTCCACTGGACAGACCCTCACTGAAGGCCGCTCCTGTACCAACAACATCATCATCATCACCCCCACCATCATCATCATCATCCCCCCCAACATCATCATCATCATCACCACCACCATCATCATCATCATCATCATCCCCCCCAACATCATCATCATCACCACCACCATCATCATCATCATAATCATCACCAACATCACCATCACCACCATCACCATCATCATCATCACCAACATCACCATCACCATCATCACCACCATCATCATCACCACCATCACCATCATCATCATCATCACCCCCACCATCATCATCATCACCAACATCACCATCATCACCATCACCATCACCACCATCACCATCATCATCATCATCCCCCCCAACATCATCATCATCATCATCATCCCCCCCAACATCATCATCATCACCCCCACCATCATCATCATCATAATCATCACCAACATCACCATCATCACCATCATCACCATCATCATCAACATCATCATCATCATCACCAACATCATCACCATCATCATCATCTTCATCCTCCGTAGAACATTTATATCCAACTAACTTCTCCGTGTCGTTAGCCGCGTAGAACATTTATATCCAACTAACTTCGTGTCGTTAGCCAAATGCTAACTCTGTAAATATTTCTTGTTAGCTTTTCTTTAAACCTGATATGCTAATGTGATAATGTGCGACTGATGATGTCTCGGCGATGTTAGCATGTTGCTAACAGGCGTGTCCTCACCGATGGCTAGCCCGTCGCTGAAGTTGTGCAGTCCGTCTCCCATGATGACCATCCAGGCCAGCGCGGCCACGCCCGCTTCCTGGAAGTGTTGCTGGGAGTAGGAGTGGGCGTGGCTGTGGGGGTGATGGTTCTGGGAGTGGTGGTGGTGCAGGATGTGGTGGTAGTCGTGGTGGTGATGGTGCATGTCGTCAGCCTGGCCCACCGTGTCATGGAAGTGGGAGTGGCATTTGTTCTCACAGTCTTCAGCGCTGTAGGCGGCAGCACCGGCGTCGGACGCTGCAGCGTAACCCTGCGGCGACAGCATCACCTGCTCCTCCTCAGCCACGCCCCCAGCGCCGTCGCCACTGTGCACGACAGCGGAGTGGGCGCCAAACACACCTGCGCCGTTCGTCTCCACATCTGACGGAAGGAGACAGGAGTCGGTGACGGTCAGTTTTCAACAGAGGTTCACGTCTCCAAAATGTCACGGAAAAATAAAACCTTACCTTCAGGAGCCTTTAGCTCACGGTCTCCCAACGCTGGCTGCTTTTCTGGGTCCACTTTGTCATTTTGGTCCCACTTTTTCTGGACCTGAACAACAGCAGCAAAATGACCGACATGACACCGTGGTCACCAACCAGTGCTGGATCAGCAGCTGCTCTGTCTCTGAACTAAAATCTCTGATTTTCTCCATGGACTTTGGTCTGAACTAAAATCTCTGATTTTCTCCATGGACTTTGGTCTGAACTAAAATCTCTGATTTTCTCCATGGACTTTGGTCTGAACTAAAATCTCTGATTTTCTCCATGGACTTTGGTCTGAACTAAAATCTCTGATTTTCTCCATGGACTTTGGTCTGAACTAAAATCTCTGATTTTCTCCATGAGGTTTGGTGCGGCAGCAGTGAAGGTTTGAACTGTAATTCCTCTTGCTGCCACTGGCAGCAGTGTGGTCACGTATCTGACCTCTCACCTTCTGTTTCTTCTCCTTGTACATTTTTCCCAGAGTGATGAAGTGTTCGATGAGGAACATAAAGTAGACCCCGCCCAGCGCCGTCAAACCCTTCCACACGCCGTCCAGGTCTTCGTCCTCCTCGGCGTGGTTATGACCATGGGCTCCACTGGTCCCAGAATCCTCCTGGTGGTGGTGACCCCCCTGGGACTGGAACAAACAGGAAAGAGGCTTTTGGTTTCCTCCAGGCGTCAGACAAACACATACTTTGAACTGGAGATTACACTCAATAAATACTGCAGTACTGAGTGAATACTGCACGACTGATACTACAGTTTTGCAGACGAAGACAAAGTAAAACCCAAAGACAACTGTCCCAAAACAAACCCTCTGTCCAGATCTACATTTAAACCTAAACAGGAAGTGTCTCCAGCAGGTGGCGCAGACTCACGTGGGGGATGAGGTGGAGGAAGGCGTCGCCGCTTAACGTGCCCACGGCCAACGCCACCAGAAAACTGAGGAGGAACTTGAAGAAAACTCGGCTCATGAGGGGAATGAGAATGACGCCGAGCAGAGACAGGAGGCTGATGACGGTGATGGAGACGAAGCCACCGATCCACGCTGCCGTGTCCACCACAGAGAGACACACGTGAGGGTTAAAGGTCGGGTCAGGAGCGCAGCTAGCTAGAACTAAGCTAACAAAAAAAACACAAACGGCTCCGCAACTCCAGGAAGAAGGAAGGCAACACAAATTACCTGTCGCAATATTCTTGTTTTCAACGGTAGAGCGCTCCAAGTGGTCGTGGTCGGAATGGTGATCGTGATCGTGTTTGTGATGTCTGTGGTCTAAAAACAGAACAAACGCAGTCATCGCTAAGTTCCAAGTTAGTGGTCAGATTAGGACGTGACTGGATCGGTCAGACACACAGGCAGATCAGTTGCCATGACGACAAATAAAGAACGTTTCAGATTTTAAATATTCATTTTAATATTTAAGACGCGATTCAAACCTGTTTGTCCGTGAACGACGCAGACTCCAGAGTCGATCTGGCTGAGGAGGGCGGGGCAGAGGTACAGGAAGTCCCTCGCGGTCACGTCCACTTCCTGGGACATCCCGTGTGAGGACAGCAGGCTGGAGGCGTTCAGGCACTGCCGAAAAAACATGGACAATCCTCAGTGTCTTCGTAGTTCTCTGAGAGCGCCCCCTGCTGTTGGAAACAACTTGAGGCAGAGGCTGGTTCTCAGTGAAAAAGTCTAAGAACCCAGAGGGGTTCAACTCAACTTTGTAAAGTCTGTTTTCAGCAGCAGGGGGCGCTCACTGTGTTCATTAAACCGTTCTATGAACTAGCTCCGTACCTCAGAACCGCCCAGGCTGCGATTCACGTGATCGTGATCGTGGTTGTGGTCGTGATCGTGGTTGTGATCGTGGTCGTGGTCGTGGTCGTGGTCGTGAGGGGCTACAGCAGCTCGTGTCTGGCTCTTAGTGACCGTCGTCTTGCCATCTGCGGCTTCTCTAGTGGTTTCCTCTCCAGCAGAGCGGCGCTGTTCCAGTCTCTCCGGTTGTTTCTCCCGGAGCCCGTACGCTGCAGTGGAACCGACCACCGGAGGCACCGCGACCGTGGTCTTCTTGTGGTACCGATTGTGATGGTCGTCAGGGTTTTCCGTTTTCTTACCTGTTGAAACATCGCGGTTTTCTTCTCTTTTGGGGAACTTCACCAGCGCCACACTGTGGTCGTGGTCATGTTTGTGTGGATGCGAGCTGTTGTGGTCGTGGACGTTATGACTGCGGTGATCGTGGTGACCGGGGTTCAGGTGCTCGTGATGCTGGACCACCACGGTCCTAAAGCGACCAAGGCCGACGCTCTGTAGGAGGCGCTTTAACCCGTCCACAGAGATGGTTCCGTTCTCACCGTATCTGTCGGGTTGGAGAAAAAAAAAACACAAACGTGTTCGTAGGTAACGGCGGCGAGTTCGTCTGCTCCGTCAAATACATCGTAACGTCAGCGTTAGCCGTTTACCTGCTAAACAGTGTTTCTAAGTGTTGCCTCTGACTCAGCGCTGCCCTCTGTGGGTCAATCACAGATGACTCCAAACGCAGGCCGCCGCCCACCTCTGTCACAGAAGGAACGGTCACTGCCGAGGAACTCGCCTTGAGGAGAACCATCAGAACCAGCACGGACATTTGACCCTTGACCTTAACCATCATGACTGCAGCAGGGAATCAGGGCATTTACAAACAGGAAGTGATGTCACCTGCAGAGTAGGTGGACAGATCAGAGTGAGTTCTAAGCAGGGCAAAAAAAAAAAAGTCTGAGAAAAGAAAATGTAGCAACAAAATTAGCCAGAATAGTAAAAAAAAAAAAAAAAATCACATGGCGTAACTTAAGGTTAGCCAAAAACGGTTTAAACTAGAGCTAAAGAAAGTAGTGCCAGCTGTTAGCCGAAGATATGACGGAAACTTTTAGCCTGAACCAACGTCACTTAAATTCAAATTAATTAGCTAAAAATAAACTATGAATTAATCAAACAGAGGACTGTTAGTTAAACAGGTTTAGTTAAACAGGTTTAGTTAAACAGGTTTAATCATGTTTAACTAACAGTCGAACCGCCTTCTCCCTCTGTTGTTTCCCGTTTTTACAAACACCACGAACTAAACGGCAGCAGACGATTATTGACGTTTAGCTCGTGTTTACATATATATTTGTACTCGTTAAAAGAAGGTAACAGTTAACTAACCCTAACCCAGAGGACGAGCAGCTGACCGGAAGTCCACGAACGATCTTTAATCAAACTTAATTAAATGAACGTCAGAAACGGCAGTCGTTCAATTTAAAAAAAAGCCCAAACCTTTCAGAGAACAACGTCCAGACCTGCTGTGAACGAGTGATCATGAACAGCTGCTGCTGAATCACTCCACCACACGTGCACGCACATACGTGCACGCGCCCGCCCCCCGACTGTTCCCGGGTCTCCAACAGTTTTCAGTCAAAACAAACACAGACCAGAACAACGAGGCCGGGAGTTCGGGAGTGGACGTGAAGTTTTCACCAGAGAACCGTGAACCGTGTGCACCTGAAGGCAGCACGCGTCACCGCAGAGATGCTGCCTTCAGGTGCACAGGGGAGAGCTTCATCTGAGCCGGGCTGTAGTGATGGTCACTGTTCCAAGGTGACGGTTACAGTAACGACACTCGTCATCACTGTTGTGTGAACGTTACAGTTTTAATTAAAGTCATTCTAATAAAGTACATTCTACATGGTGACAGTGCATTATAAATGTACACACACACACACCCCCCCCCCCCCCCCCCCGTGTGCCCCGTGGTTTGGAATAAGAAGTGACTTTAACGAGTACTGTTTAGTCCCACGCCGTCAAACGCTTCACGTTTGTTTCACCACAAACGTGGAAAAACGTCCACATTTTAACAAAACATTCGCTTTGTTTACGTTACGTATAAACGGCGACTGTGGTGTTAGCTAAGTTAGCTTTGGTCCTCCGGTCCTATTAGAGGTGCACTGACTCGTCGTTAGCTTCTCGGCTAACCGTTATACTGCACTAACACATGACGGGCTGCGGTGGCTCGCGGCCGGGCCGAGGGCCACCGCCTGCTCCTGCTGGTCCACAGACCGGAGCTAACGGGCAACACCCGCCGATAAACCAACCCCAGAGTGAGGCCCGGAGGTTCGGAGAGCGGATGTAAACAGAAACACGTTGGATTGATGAGGTCTGTGCACTCGGTCCGAAGAGGCAGACGATAGTGTCGTGTGCACAAAAGCAGCGGAACCCGGAAACTGAGTCGCCGCCGCCGCGCGGGAGAGGAACTGTTGCCGCCGCATCTCCGAATTTTCTTTATCAACAACACAAAACCGAACCGAACCGAACCGGTGCCGACACAAACTGAGGCTTTGAGAAGCCGCGGTAACTTACAGTGAGTCGGCGGCCTGTCCCCAGACATCTGCCGCGACGTCGTCTTCGCTCCTCCGTCTCTCTCTGTTCCGTAAACGCATCAAAGCTGTGGCGGTTGGTGAATGAGGCGTTCAGGGACTGTGGGAAAACGGAGCGAGGAAGAAACGGAGCGAAATCAGCCAATGCAAAATGTTCTTTGTAACTTTATGTTAACTAATAAAAATATGTTAATGTTGTTGTATTTACAGTTTTCTGCTCTTTGTTTCCGTGGGAACTTTTTTTTATATTTCATGTTCTGGATGTTGACGTTTTCTGGATGTTTCTAATGAACACAGGTTCAGATGTTTTCAAAGGATTGATCCTTCAACAGAACCCTTGTGTGTGTGTTGATGTAAAAGTTCACCTAAACATCTGTTGGCTGAAGGCGTCTGTAAATCACTCGCTTCTTCACCGCCGGCCAATCAGCAGTGAGGATGAGAGTAGAGAAGGCCTGATAGTTAGGGTGAAGCAGAGGAGAAAGTTCAGGAGGAGTGAAGTGAAGGAGAGGAGCAGGAGGTGAAGGAGGTGAAGGAGGTGAAGGAGTGAGGGATGGACAGGAGGAGAAGATTCTTTTCTCCTTATTTTTTATTGGCACAAACATCAGCTCGTGTTTCATCCAGGACTTTGAAAAACCTTGAAAGTCTTGATATTTACAGGTACTGATTCAAAGTTCTTCAGCTGGAACTGATTAAGATTGAAAATCAGTTCTTAATAAAAATGTTTGACATCATCGAGTCAGAATTTGGACTGAATCAAAAAAAAAAACAGATCAAAATGGACTTTTTATTATATTTACAAAAAAAAACCTGAGTTTAAAAAATAAAAAAGGAAATAAAAGATTCAATCATGAAGACTTCCTGTGTGGGTCACATCCTGCTGCACACACACACACACACACACACACACACACACCTGTGCCACACAAAGACCTTTTATCTCACACACACTCAGCCTCTGTTGCTGGTCATTATGTAGGACCTGGTCGACCTCTGGGGGTCAGAGCAGATCCTGACCCTGATGCAGACCCCCCCCCTCCACCTACCTCACCCCCCCCAAACAAAGACAACAGTGTGAGTGACCGGAGCCAGGATTAAATACCTGTCACGGGACCAGAACACCTTAATCAGCCGATCAGGTGTCGTCCCACGGCCAATCAGAGAGCAGGACTGGAGGAAGTCCACCTGAGACCCCCCCCCCCCGTTGCCCCCCCCACCTCAGGTAAAGGTTGATAAACTGTGGCTTTACCTCACAGACGACACTGACTGATGAACAGACCAGAGGAGCTGGGACTTCATGCTACTTCATGGTACTTCATGGTACTTTTTTATTTTTGTGTTAAACTTTTTTTTTCAGGTTTAAGGAAGTTTTTTCAAAACTGTTTTTTTTTTTTGTTCGTAACAGTTTAGCAAACGTGGCTAACCTTTAGTTTTTCTTTTTTTTTCTAATCATCAAATCGTGTTTCTGAGTTGACCTTTGACCCTCTGTGTTTTTTTTTTGGGCTAATAATACACGCTACATGTTCAGCTAACCTGTGCAGTTTTACCTCATTAGCAGTTAGTGTTTCAACTGCGACCAATCAGACGACTCGTCTGACCGTCCTTCGTCTGACGTCATGTTTCTGACCTGGGTTTTCATCATCTCTGCTGCGTCACATGGTAAAGCCCCCCCCCCGACCCCCCTCCTTCTATTGTTTTGTACATTTTTAACCCAAATTGATTTGTTGTTTTTTTTGTTTGTTTGTTTTTATTCGTCTTCAGCTCTCGGCACAAACTCCGTTTTCTGTCCAGACCCAGAAACCGCCGCCTCCGGGTCAGACTTCCTGACCGGTGAGAATCAGATGTCAGACAAATGTTGATCAATCAGAGAGTTGAAAGTTGACGGAGGGTCAAAGGTCAGGCTGTTTCCTCCCTACAGACTGCCTGGGTCTGCGGTTCACCTGGCTTCACTCCGTCTTTGATAATTTCCCGTCGCTCCTGAATTTCGCAGCGAGACTCAAGTGTGAGACAGGACTCTGTCCTCGGCAGCTGCAGGACTACGGCTGCTCCTGCAGATTCCTGGCAGCAGGAGGCGCTCAGGATCCTGTGGACGTGTAAGTCCACGTCTCAGTGGAACTGGTTTCATCCAGTTTTTATTCAACTCAAACGTTGGTGAAAAAACACTGATGTGCGTGTGTTTCCTGCCGCAGCTGCTGTCACAATCACAGGTGGTGTTACCAGAATGCCGCCCCCTGCAGGCAGACGGTGGCGCCGCTGCTGCAGAGCCTGAAGTGTTCACGCGTGAACAGCAGCTGTGGTGAGTTTCTGAGACGACCACGAACTGGAGGAACACCGAGAGCTGTGGTGACGACACTGTTGTTGAATCCGCTAGGTGGTGCTGATGAGTGTGAGCAGAGGTTCTGTGAGTGTGACCAGGCTGCCCTCTACTGTCTGAATCAGAGTTCACTCAATCCATCCCTGAGAGGAGTCTCTGAGGATTTCTGCTCAGGCGACAACCACACAGGTGAGAGACATCTTCATCATCATCATCATCATCATCATCTTCATCATCATCATCATCTTCATCAGTTTAAATTCACATTCCTAAATCACTGATGTTAGCTCACAGACACACACACACCAGGAGCTACTGCTGCCTCTGGTGGTTGATTTGTGTCACTCAGTCAAATCTGATCTCTTGTTGTTTGGGTAAAGTTACAAAAATTGACTTTGGTCTGAACTAAAATCTCTGATTTTCTCACAAATCCTCGTTGTTTTCACACCTGTGTCAAAACTGCTGCAGATTTTCTCTGAATTTCCTCCTTTTGACTTCAGACCTGCAGGGGGCGACACTGTCGACAGGAGAGCCCGTCACAGGCGCTGCAGGTGAGTCACAGTGATGTCACTCAGTCAGTGGTAGGACAACAGGGGGCGTCAGTGAGCAGGTCAAACCTCAGCCAATTATAGCCATGACCTCCTGACCTCCTGACCTCCTGACCTCCTGACCTCTGGTGCCGCAGCTGTGAACCCTCAGCTCCAGGTCGAACGGGTCGACATCATTAGAACCATTTTAACGATTCAGGGCTAAAATAGACAACAGTCATGATGAGCTGCTGCCCCCTGTGGTCAGTTTGTGACAAATGGACTGTTTTTCTCTCCCGTCCAGATTTTCTCTCGACAGTGAACGACTCTTTCAGTCTGGATTTCTTTAGCCCCGCCCACTTGTCAACAGGTAAAAAAAGGTTTATCTGATTTGCCTTAACTTCCCTCAGACTATTCCAACAGGAGGCCCAGCCTTCACCCCCCCTCACCCTCTCTCACCTATATACACACACACACCAAACCTCATAGAGAAAAGCAGTGATTTTGCTCCGTCACTGAGTTCCAGTTCGAAGTTCAAATCTACCGCAGTGCCTCCAACTGACCAGAGGGGGGCAGTGGTGGAGCGCCACAGCCCGGTCTGTCTCAGCTCTTCATTAAACTCTGTCACTTCTCCAGCAGAGGTCGGTCTCCTGACGACCAGCGGAGGAGGTAATGAGAGTGACGTCACAGCCAGGGACCCTGACCTCGTCACCCCGGGACCGCCCACCCTGCTGGACACTACTGGTAGGCTCACTTAATTGGTACACACACACACACACACACAGTTTGACACTTGAATTCTTTTCAAAGACAAACTTTTTCTTAGAAGAAGGAGAAGGAGGAGGTGCAGAAGCAGAGGAGGAGGTGGAGGAGGTGGAGGAGGAGGAGGCTGTAACACAGCTGAGTTCCAGTCCTAAAGGTCAAACTTCTTTCTTTCCTTAAACCTTTTTTTTTTTACCGACTCTTGGATCAAATTCCTCCAGATCCGATGGCCCGCTGCTCCGTGACTCACGGCGCTCCTCCTCGCTCTTTGAACAGATTTGACGGAGACGGCGACAGAAGCAGCTCTGGAGCAGCAGCAGGAGGTGAAGGAGGAGGAGGAGGAGGAGGAGGAGGAGACGGCGTCAGCGAGGCCAGGTGGGCCGCGACCACAGAAGCAGCAGCTAAAATAACTTACATGATTAAGGAGGTGTGTAGTGAAGGTCCAGCAGCAGGGGGCGCTCACACCAGTGTTGTGTGACGTCTGTGCAGATTCGGTCGGTGTCTCATCACAGACACAGAACATGTGGAGAAGCACAGTCCAACCTGAGGAGGAGGAGGAAGAGGAGGAGGAGGAGGGTGAGTTTAGGAGATCCACGAAGGAGGAGGAGCAGGAGGAGACCGTCCAAACACCACGTCATTCCTTCAAATTCATTCATTTTTCCCACAGGGGTAACTTCTCCTCAGGAGTCCAGCAGCTCCACAGCGCCCCCTGCAGCTCAGGTTTATCACAGCTCCTCCTCTGCAGCAGACACCACCACCAGGGCAGCGTTGACGGTGACACCTCCTCCACGGAGCGCGGAGGATCCTGAGGAGGAACCAGGGGAGGAAGAGGACACGGTCAGGCCAGCAGCAGTGCCCCCTGCTGGTCGTCCAGGTGAGCAGCTAACTGCTTTTCTTGACTTTCAGATTTTCTGCTTCTGTTACATTTTCTCTCAGTTCCAGGTAAAAACGGTCCCTCGTCGTCCACCGTCTGGTCCTGGACCCGAGGACCACCTTCTCAGACCCCGTCCTCCTTCAGGAACAGGACAGAAGCGTCTGAGTCTGAGGAGAAAAAGACGTGGACGGTCAAACCTGGGTCTGAGGACAGAGACACAAAAGACAGCTCACAGGAAAAAGACGCAGACGGTAAAGTCCGGAGGTCGTCTGTGGTCTTAGCTAACGTTTACCTGACGGAAGTTGAGTTCGCGTTTATTCACGCCGATGTTCTGGTCAACACTTACCTTAGGTCAGTACCCGAGCAGTCCAGTAGAGGGCAGTGTTCATTCATTGTGTCTATTTTGGCAGAAACAGGCGTTGTCCAGAGGAGGGCGCTGCCGTTCTTTGCCTGGTCTCTGCTCCAGTCTGTGGGTTTAACTGATCTGCAGCTACAGTCTGACGCCAAAGGTTCGACTCCGCCTTCCTGCTGTCGTTAGCATTTAGCTGCGTTAGCCTCGGCTAACATTTGCCTTTCTCCTCAGACTGCAGTCGCTCCTTCTCTGTTTACGGTAGTGACGGAAAACTACAGCGCCACCTGCCGGCACTCGGTGAGATGCTTCACTGTCTGACAGGACGATGTCCACACGAGTACGAAATGTATGGCTGCTACTGTGGCCAGGAGGGCGGCGCTGGTCAGCCACTGGACCAGCTGGACCGGTGAGAGGATCTTTAATCTTTATACTTTGGACTAAACTTCCAGGTTGTTTAATGTTCAACTTTGATTCAACGTCTGAACATTTTCAGCCATTTTTGCTTTATTTTAGGCCAAAACAAGTGGAGGCTAATTAGCTAGCTGTGGGTTAACGTCGAGCTCCTCCGGCTCCTCCTCTTCTTGTCCTCAGCTGCTGCTTCTTCCATCAGTGTTGTCTGAAGCAGATCATCTTTCTGGGTTGTAGCCCAGACAGAAAACACAACGCCCGGGTTTCCTGTCAGGAGAGGAAACCACGCTGTGAGTGAACACACACACACACACACACACACACACACAATCAGTCTGCTCTCCACACCCACCTGGTCATGTGACCCACCCTCAGGTCAGGGCGTGAACATCTGCGACAAACTCCAGTGTGTGTGTGACCGGACCACGGCTCAGTGCATGGCTGCAGCCGCCTTCAACCACAGCCTGGCAACGCAGCGGTGCAGTGGTTTGACTCCGCCCTGTCACCGTGTCATCAGACCCCCCAAACCACCTCAGTCCAGTGAGGAGAAGGAGGAGGAGGAGGAGGAACCACCAGGAGGAAGAACTGACGCTGAGAGCAGGTGAGACAGAACAAAACATCTCCAGACCAAACCTCATGGAGAAAATCAGAGATTTTAGTTCAGACCAAAGTCCATGGAGAAAATCATGAAAATGTGTTTTTTTTTATGGTGTCGATTGTTTGGATTTTTGTTTTCTATTTTTTGAAGCTAACTTTAGTCACAATTTGTGACTTTTTGTGTCTGCAGTGAAAGTTCTGATCTGACAGAAGATCAAGAGTTCACTTCTCCTCCTGAATCGATTCCTCTTTCTCCTTCTACGCTGCTAAACCACAGACCTGGACCAGACCAAGTTCAGGGACCAGGAGAAGAAGAGGAGGAGGAGGAGAAGAAGGAGGAAGAGGTGATGGAGGAGGAAGAGGTGGAGGAAGAAGAAGGGGGAAAGTAGAACTTTAGCTTTTGGTCCTTTTTATAGCTATAGAAAATGTTGACTTTTATCCCGTAGTTTGTATTTACGTGAATGGAAAAATAAACCTTGACTTTTATTTTGGTCGGTTTCCTGTTGGTGAAAACTAACGAGCTAAGAATAAACAGAAAACATGTCAAACTAAACCTGGATGTGTTTGATTTCATTTATACCTAACACTGATTATTGATCGCCGATCAGTTTACGTTCTTAAATGATCACATTTCCTCGTCTTGTTTTTTCGACCGTTTATTTCGACGTAGCTCAGGATTTTTCAATCGATGGAGAATAACACGAAACAAAATCAGTGATTTTGAATCACAGAGACTCAGCACTGTCTGTCAGTAACACAAACTGACCACCGGGGGCAGTGGTGAAGCTAAAGTCACTGATTATCTGAACTATTCTTTAAATGCTGGTGAAAAATGTTTCTCACATTCAACATGGTCTACAAAAAACTTTAACGATGTGGAGACTAGCCTAACGTCGTCTAAGGCTAGCTACCGTATATTTAGTAAGTCATTATTTTACATTTGAAATGTACCGTTCCTCTTCTTCTCCTGATGTTTGAATCTGTACCAGCCAACGAAACGATCACATGTACAAAAATATTTACGACATCGTGTGAAGCTCTAGTGAAACATCCAATGAGGAGGAAGCAACCATGTGATTCAGGGAGGTGGAAAACTGATTGGGTCAGGGGCGGGGCTTGACCCAGTTCTGATTGGAGTGTGTGAGTGGGGGGGGGGTGGGGGGCTCGGAGGGTCTGAGGTCTGATTGGGTCGGGGGCGGGGCTTGACCCAGTTCTGATTGGGTCGGGGCCTCAGTATATTTGCGGGTTTTCTCAGTAGACACATAAATCCGGGAACTTCATCTCGTAGATTGGTACCGACTGGTGCTGGGCGTGTCCAGTTGTGATGGACACCACACCAGAGGGACTGGGCGGCGGCCTGCGGACAGAGAAGGGGAGGGGTTACATCCTCGTGGCCCCGCCCACAGCTAATAGAAGATGGAGGCGTGAGTGAGTTACCGGATGGTGAGTTCAAAGATCTGAGCCAGTCGGTCCTGGAGGAGGTTGGCCTGAGGACACAGGACCAGGACTTTGGTCAGACACAACACTGGTCCAGAACCAGAACCAGAACCAGACCCTGATGTGGGTCAAACCTGGTTCTGGTCCACTTTGCTACATCTTTCATTTGGACCCAGTTTATTACCTTGGACTCGCAGTGGGCGGCCAGTTCCTCAAACGGAGCCTTCTGGAACTTCTCCATCACCTGACGCCGTCGCTCGCGCTCCTGCTCCTCCAGACCACCGGTATCTGAAAAGCATCCAGAAGAAACTAAGCCACGAAATCCTGAACTCTGGTTTAAGTCCGATCTCTGGAGAAGTCCAGAACCTCAAAATAAACCTGGGGCCTCGTGTTCTAAGACCTGCGTAGATTTCATCGTCCATCCAGGACCTAATCCAGACTCTAATTGAGAATCTAATCCAGGACCTAATCCAGACTCTAATCCAGACTTTAATCCAGACTCTAATCCAGACTTTAATCCAGACTCTAATCCAGACTTCAATCCAGACTCTAATCCAGACTCTAATCCAGACCCTAATCCAGACTCTAATCCAGACTTTAATCCAGACTCTAATCCAGACTTCAATCCAGACTCTAATCCAGACTCTAATCCAGGGTCTAATCCAGGATCTAATCCAGAATCTAATCCAGACTCTAATCCAGACTTTAATCCAGACTCTAATCCAGACTCTAATTGAGAATCTAATCCAGGATCTAATCCAGGACCTAATCCAGACTCTAATCCAGACTTCAATCCAGACTCTAATCCAGACTCTAATTGAGAATCTAATCCAGGACCTAATCCAGACTCTAATTGAGAATCTAATCCAGGACCTAATCCAGGACCTAATCCAGACTCTAATTGAGAATCTAATCCAGGATCTAATCCAGGACCTAATCCAGGACCTAATCCAGACTCTAATCCAGACTTCAATCCAGACTCTAATCCAGACTCTAATCCAGACCCTAATCCAGACTCTAATCCAGACCCTAATCCAGACTCTAATCCAGACTCTAATCCAGGGTCTAATCCAGGATCTAATCCAGACTCTAATTGAGAATCTAATCCAGGATCTAATCCAGGACCTAATCCAGGACCTAATCCAGACTCTAATCCAGACTTTAATCCAGACTCTAATCCAGGATCTAATCCTGAAGTCAGTAACTGTCAGAGAGGACTCGAGCAGGTCCAGGACTGGTCACTGACCGATGGCTTTCTTCAGGGTCTCAAAGGTGATCTCCTCAGCCTGCTGGGACTGTGGACACACACACACACACACAGGTTGTTACCCAGCAGAACCCTGGTCCCGTCCCAGTGTCTCATGTTCCTGTGAGTCTCTGACCTTGTCTGGAAGACTGTTGGACATGATGTCCACCTGCAGAGACACCGTGTCCACAAGACTCTTCCTCCTGGTCAGACGGTCGTCATCTGAAACATCAGGTCCACATTTAGAAGACAACCACACCACAGCGCCACCTACAGGCACACACACACGTCTACCGCCACAGACACAAGTCTAACACTGCCCCCTGGTGGCTGTGGGCGCTGCCGCAGCCTCTACCGTGTGACCTTTTACCTCTGGACGACTGTTTGCACCGGTGGAGGATTTTTCCGACCGTGTAAAGAACTGAGTTTGACGACGAGGAGAAAAGAGAAGGAAAAGACTGAAGGGACAGTTTGGTCACATGACCCGTCTGTGTTCAAACACCCCCCCCCAGTACAGACGGTCAGTCTGGTCATGTGACTGCAGTGGGTACCTGTGACCTGAGGAATGTAGGGAACAGTTAGTCTCTCGGCGTTGTATCCTGGTCCAGAAAGACAGTCCACCAAATCTGAAGTCTGGAAATACAGGAGTCTGTCCTCCTTCTCCAGGGAGTCAGGGAGTCTGAGGAGGGAGGGGGGGACACGGGCGGGAGGATGAGGAGGTAAGAGAGGACAGATGGACGGAGCAGCCACGGTCCCAGGTCAGGACCAACTCACCGACTCTTGTCCCTGAAGACGTGTTCTGGCAGCAGGTACGGAGCGTCCATGTTCCTCAGCTCGATCACCTGCACACAACACACCGACCAATCAGCAGAGAGCGGGGCGGGTCCTGACGCTCACCGTGTCGCGTTAGCACACCTTGCTAACGTGCTGACAGAACGGCGGGTTAGCGATCATCTGGCTCAGGAAGTTGAGGTACGCCGCCACCAGGGCCAGGACGCTGCAGCGGTTCAACATGGGCAGGTTCTCCTCATTGGTCAGAACCATGTCCTGCAGACGACAGACATCGGAACAACATTCACAAATACAGGACAGGAAACTGCAATCTATTAGTGCCCCCTGCTGGACATGGAGGATGGAGCTCTGTAGATTTTTAACATTAAATTCCACTGTTGTACACATTTTTATACTCACTCTGCCAGACCAAACCTCATAGAGAAAATCAGAGATTTTAGTTCAGACCAAAGTCCATGGAGAAAATCAGTGATTTTAGTTCAGACCAAAGTCCATGGGGAAAATCAGAGATTTTAGTTCAGACCAAAGTCCATGGAGAAAATCAGTGATTTTAGTTCAGACCAAAGTCCATGGAGAAAATCAGTGATTTTAGTTCAGACCACAGCCCATAGAGAAAATCATAGATTTTAGTTCAGACCAAAGTCCATGGGGAAAATCAGAGATTTTAGTTCAGACACAAGTCCATGGAGAAAATCAGAGATTTTAGCTCAGACCAAAGTCCATGGAGAAAATCAGTGATTTTAGTTCAGACCAAAGTCCATGGGGAAAATCAGAGATTTTAGTTCAGACACAAGTCCATGGAGAAAATCAGAGATTTTAGCTCAGACCAAAGTCCATGGAGAAAATCAGTGATTTTAGTTCAGACCAAAGTCCATGGAGAAAATCAGTGATTTTAGTTCAGACCAAAGTCCATGGAGAAAATCAGTGATTTTAGTTCAGACCAAAGTCCATTGATTTTAGTTCACTGAGACTCAGGAGCTACAGATTTCCTGGTTTTCCCAGAATTCCTAACTGTCTGATCAGACAGAGCAACATCCTGATGGATCAGGTTCTAATGGTCTCACCTGCAGAGCCATGACCAGGCGGATCAGGTCAATGACCACGTCCTCATTGGCCAGCTCAATGGTCAGGACGGCCAGTGTGGTGAAGAGCAGCTCAAAGTTCTTGTGGACGTTGTCTTCTTCTTTACAGCCGAGGTAGATGTGGCGGTAAATCTGCTGACCGTGCTGTAGAGGTGGAGGAGGAGACGGCACAGGTTCTTAAAACAAGGTTTGAACCAAACCGTGACCTTCAACAAGTTCATTAAAAAAAAAAAACAAACCCCACCACAGCAAAAACCTTTCAGAAAAGTCAAAGTTTGATGAAGTGATTTCTTTTCACCTTTTTCATGAACGCCACATCCTGTTTGGAAATCTTTTCCCGTTTGATCTTCAACGCCGCCACGTTGGGAATAATCCTGAAAAACACACACGTTCGTTGTGTTCACAGCCGCGTGTGTGTGCGTGCACGTTAGCGGACGCAGCCTCGCGGTCGTACCTGATGCCTCGGAGCTTGGCGCGGTTGTCGTGGCGATCCGTGATGTTGTGCAGAATCTCCAGCACCAGCTGCCGCAGCTCGCTGTCCTCCATCAGAGACAGAGAGAAGAGCGGGTCCAGGAAGGACGGAGGCAGCGCCGCCGCCATGGACTTGGACCGAAACCCGGAGGTCACCTGAGGTCAGAGGTCAGAGGTCAGTCCAAACAGAGTTAACAGCCTTTTGTTTTTACAAATGTTCCCAGAACATGATTCTGATTTTATGCTAACTTTTAGCATTCGTAGGCTAAGTTTTCTTTGCTAACCATTCACCAGACTCTGTACCTGGAGCTGCTCAGCCAATGAGAGGACAGACGTGGGACTCACCATGATGAGGGAGCTGAGCAGCATCGTCTGGATCCTCTTCGTGCCCTGAGGCCTGCAGAACAAGAACACACTTCAACAAACTGGTCCAGAGACAACACCGGCCCTCTGCTGCCTCCTCTGGTCAGCGTGTGTCACTGAGTTCAATCTGAACAAAGGGTTTCAGCGGTGACGTCACAGAGGAACTCAGATCAACGACTGCTGGGAGAAAATCACTGAGGTTTGGTCTGAAACTGCTCTCTCCTCCAGCAGGTACCAGGAGGAGGAGGAGGTGAAAGGAGGAGGACGACAAGATCGTCTGATCCTGATGAGGGTTAATGTGTGTGTGTGTGTGTGTGTGAGAGACACTGACCCGATCTTCACCGTGTCCAGAGTGTGACACGGCGCTCCAAAAACAGGAACTTTACCCATGATGAACATCATAACCTCCGCTCTCTGGTAGTCTGGAAGATTCCCTCCAAAGAAACCTGAGCAGAAGGAGGAGGAGGAGGAGGACCACGGGGTGAGGGAGGGGGAGGGGAGACGACCTCACATGGTTCTCAACAAGGTGACAGGAAGTGATGTCATTACCGATCGTCTGGATGATGGCATTCTGGACAATTCGCTCCTCACTCTCTCTGCCTCGGACTGACGAGGAGGAGGCGCAGGAGTTCCTCCTGGAGCCCTCTCCCAGTTCAAAGTCCACGCTCATCCTCAGGTGTTTGAGCAGAGTGTTGAAGACCTCCAGGACTGTGGGGCCTGCAAGAACAAACAAGAGGTTAGCCCCTGTGTTAGCATCTCTTAGCTAACAAAACACTACCACCTAGTGACTCTGCTAACATGCTCAGTTATTTATGTGGACACGGCTAAGACCATGCTACATTTTAGCTTCCTGAGACAGGTGCTAACAGTGACTGTTACAACACTGTGGCTGATGCTAATGCTAATACGCTGCTATTGAACGGCTACATCACTATTGTTCAGATATGATGCTAACACCAGCACAGACACGGGGTCAGGTCACATGACACAATGTTACTGTACCGAGCCACAGACTAGCAGGAGACACCATGTCACTGTCAAACGTGTGCACGCTCTTTTTTTTGGATTCTTGATTTATTCCTTTATTCCCCGGGTGGACGCGGTTGAAAAACACAGGTGATAAAACATTAGTTACAAATCAAATGTTTTTCTTCATTTATCTTTTGCTTTAATTTAACCTGAAAATCAGGGTTTCTGAAAAAAAAAAAAATTATCCATGGACTTTGGTCTGAACTAAAATCTCTGATTTTCTCCAAGGACTTTGGTCTGAACTAAAATCTCTGATTTTCTCTATGGACTTTGGTCTGAACTAAAATCTCTGATTTTCTCCAAGGACTTTGGTCTGAACTAAAATCTCTGATTTTCTCTATGGACTTTGGTCTGAACTAAAATCTCTGATTTTCTCTATGGACTTTGGTCTGAACTAAAATCTCTGATTTTCTCCAAGGACTTTGGTCTGAACTAAAATCTCTGATTTTCTCTATGGACTTTGGTCTGAACTAAAATCTCTGATTTTTTCCATGGACTTTGGTCTGAACTAAAATCTCTGATTTTCTCCAAGGACTTTGGTCTGAACTAAAATCTCTGATTTTCTCCAAGGACTTTGGTCTGAACTAAAATCTCTGATTTTCTCCATGGACTCTGGTCCACTCACCCACAGACCCTTTTGCAGCGATGGCCACCGTCTCCAGCAGCACCTGGACGATGCCGGCTCTGACCCTCGGTGTGGTCCTCTTGTGGGTGTCCAGATGATTGAGAACTTGCTGGATGACGTGATGGGAGTGCTGTGCCTAGGGAAGCAGAAAGGGGAGGAGGGAGAATGAAGGAGGAGGGGGAGCCAGACAGAGCTAATTTTAGGACAAAACGAGAAATGGGCGGGGCTACAAGAGTACCTGGATGGAGTACATGATGATTCTGAAGCAAGAAACTGCAAACTCATTTGGATCCCACAGGTGGTGATTGTCCAGGTGACTGTAAACAGGAAAACAGGAAGTTAGCTTAACTGCTCCTTATCAACATCTTCATATTGTGGTTATGGACTAAGACAATATTAAACAATGAAGTTGATATTTGAACATTGACTGAGTCAGAAAATACAATCAACCTGAGCAAAACTCAGACCAAAGTCCATGGAGAAAATCAGTGATTTTAGTTCAGACCAAAGTCCATAGAGAAAATCAGAGATTTTAACTCAGACCAAAGTCCATAGAGAAAATCAGAGATTTTAGTTCAGACCAAAGTCCATAGAGAAAATCAGAGATTTTAACTCAGACCAAAGTCCATAGAGAAAATCAGAGATTTTAACTCAGACCAAAGTCCATAGAGAAAATCAGAGATTTTAACTCAGACCAAAGTCCATAGAGAAAATCAGAGATTTTAGTTCAGACCAAAGTCCATAGAGAAAATCAGAGATTTTAACTCAGACCAAAGTCCATAGAGAAAATCAGAGATTTTAGTTCAGACCAAAGTCCATGGAGAAAATCAGAGATTTTAGTTCAGACCAAAGTCCATAGAGAAAATCAGAGATTTTAACTCAGACCAAAGTCCATAGAGAAAATCAGAGATTTTAACTCAGACCAAAGTCCATAGAGAAAATCAGAGATTTTAGTTCAGACCAAAGTCCATGGAGAAAATCAGAGATTTTAATTCAGACCAAAGTCCATAGAGAAAATCAGAGATTTTAACTCAGACCAAAGTCCATAGAGAAAATCAGAGATTTGGTCAAAATGTTATCTAATTTTATTCTTTTTATTTTTTCTGGTTCCTGACTGCAGAGTTGGAAGACGAGCTAAGACTGATCAACACTGATGAAGGTGGGTGACCCACAAAAGGAGGAGGAATTTTGTCTTTCTGAGCAAAGGAAGAGAAATGAGAGAAGAGGAGATCAGGAGTCACAGAGGAGATGGGGAGGAAACGCAAAGGACGATGATAACAAGGATCTGAACAGAAGGCTTCGACAAAATGACGTCAAACTAAAGCCCCAAAACCACCCCCCTCCCCCCCTCCTCCTATTAACCCCAATCCCTGCTATTTATAGACTATTGATGCTCTGCTTCCCTGCTCCTCTTTCTTCTCAGCCCTGCAGGAGAAGGAGGACACCAACGTGATCATCTCCTCTTTTCTCTCACAGAAACATTCAAATTGTGCAGCAAAATCTGAAATGTTGGAAGTCTCAAGGTCAAAGCGTCCTTCAGTCTGAAGGTCTGAGGGTCTGAAGGTCTGAGGGTCTGAGGGTCTGAAGGTCTGAGGGTGTGAAGGTCTGAGGGTCTGAAGGTCTGAGGGTCTGACGGTCTGAGGGTCTGACGGTCTGAAGGTCTGAGGGTCTGAGGGTCTGAAGGTCTGAGGGTCTGAGGGTCTGAAGGTCTGAGGGTCTGAGGGTCTGAAGGTCTGAGGGTCTGAGGGTCTGAAGGTCTGAGGGTCTGAGGGTCTGAAGGTCTGAGGGTCTGAGGGTCTGAAGGTCTGAGGGTCTGAGGGTCTGAAGGTCTGAGGGTCTGAGGGTCTGAAGGTCTGAAGGTCTGAGGGTGTGAAGGTCTGAGGGTCTGAAGGTCTGAAGGTCTGAGGGTGTGAAGGTCTGAGGGTCTGAAGGTCTGAAGGTCACGTGAACTCACACTAAGACTGGTCGGACAGCGTTGTTCATGTTGCCGTAGGCTGCTCGGCCCAGGAGTTCTCTGAAGCAGCTCTCGGCCAGTGCTGCTGGGTTCTCCTCACCGTCCTGGCCTGCTCCCTGGGGGGGGGTACCAGGATGAGCCGCCCTGACAGAGGAGAGGAGGAACAGTCATTGAAGAAGAAGAAGAAGAAGAAGAAGAAGAAGAGGAAGAGACTTCACACAGACTAAAGTCACATGAGCAGAGATATAAAGAACACTGTCCAAAAATAACTTTGTTCACATGGAAACCACTGAGACACGGAGAGGAGGGGGGGGGGTGAAGGGGGAGGAGGAGAACTACAAGTACTGTGTCTTGTTTTGACCAAACCCTGTGTGTGTGTGTGTGTGTGTGTGTGTGTGTGTGTGTGTGTGCCCACCTGTCCAGCTCCTCACTCTCCTGCATGTTGAACAACATGGAGGGGATGAGTTTGTCCATGTGCTGTGGTTCCCAGATGATGGCCTGCAGCTCGTCGTTCACCGTCTTCCTGACCACGCCCTGGAGACCTTTGATCCCTGCCACACGGATCCTGAAACAACCACAGGGGGCAGCAGTGAACCAACGGCTGATTTTAGAGGGTTCAAAATTCAGACGACGAGGGTACTACCGAAGGGTACTACTGAAGGGTACTACTGAAGGGTACTACCGAAGGGTACTACTGAAGGGTACTACCGAAGGGTACTACTGAAGGGTACTACCGAAGGGTACTACTGAAGGGTACTACCGA